GCTTTTGCATGGCAAATCCATTAATTCTGTCTTTAGTTCTGGGAGACTAAAACATACAAGCGCTGGAAAAAACTATTCTTCTGTCCTTATTTGCTCTTACGCTGAGTTTCTGTTTAAAAATCATTTTTATTTTCCAGGTATTTTGAAAAGCAGTTTGAACTGTCAGAACAGACACATCTGCCCATGTTTCTCCACTGTAGAAACTCACACGCCGAATTTTTAGGTGGGTTTTGTTTGAGAATTTCATACTCTGAGCAAATTCTGAACATGAAAAATCTGGAAACCTGAATCTTTCACCTTTGTCTTTTATAAAGCTGTCTTACATTTTTATTTATTTCATTTCATAGACATAACAAGAAGGAACCGAGATAGATTTGTAGGAGGGGTGGTAAGTATGGACTTCAGCGTAGCGTTCGTTTTTACATGCATGCGTGTGAATATTGTTGCTTAATGTGCAATTTGTTGTTTGTCATGGAATCTGGGTAGGCTTCCTGTTACGTGGTTTAAGTTATTATTAATTAGTAAGTGTTTTCCAGTCCCTTCTAGTATTTTTTTTTTTGTTGCTTATTTAACAGGTTTTTTTGGAAGGTAAGAAGATAGGCTGAGAAAAAGCTCTGCAGCTGACACGAGCAGTTTTTCTTGGCCTGTCAGAAGGACAGTTTAAGCACCTTATAATTGACATTGGCCTTTTCCCAATTCTTCAGTGTCTGTAACTGCAGTGCATTCAGACCACAGATAATTTAGATGCTGCAAGCCGTAACCTCAAACATTTGCTTCTGACGTTAGACATCGTTTTCAAATTAGATCCAGATGTAACTTTTGATTGCTTTGTGTCTTCAGATACTCAGATCATGTATTCTAATTCACACACACAGAATCACACAGAGTCGCAAGGGTTGGAAGGGACCTCGGGAGATCATCCAGTCCACCCCCCCTGCTAAAGCAGGCTCTCCTAGAGCATTCTACACAGGACTTCATCCAGGCGGGCCTTGAATATCTCCAGAGAAGGAGACTCCACAACCTCCCTGGGCAGCCTGTTCCAGTGCTCTGTCACCCTCGAAGTAAAGAAGTTTTTCCTCATACTCAACTGAAACCTCTTATGTTTCAGTTTGCACCCATTGCCCCTAGTCCTGTTGCAGGACACCACTGCAAACAGACTGCTTCCATCCTCATGACTTCCGCCCTTAAGATATTTGTATGTGTTGATAAGGTCCCCTCTCAGTCTTCTCTTCTTCAGGCTGAACAAGCCCAACTCTCTCAGCCTTTCCTCGTAGGGGAGGTGCTCCAGACCCTTTATCATCCTAGTTGCCCTCCTCTGGACTCTTTCTAGGAGTTCCTCATCTTTCTTGAACCGGGGAGCCCAGAACTGGACACAGTACTCCAGGTGGGGTCTTTCCAGCAGGTCAGCCCCCAGCCTGTACTGGTGCATGGGGTTTGACCTCCCCAGGTGCAGCACTCGACACTTGCCCTTGTTGAACTTCATCAGCATAACAGCATTCAAAAGCATAACAGGAAAAACTTGGGATGAAATGATTAAGGAAGTCCAGCAACACTCTTTTCAGGTTTTCATTATGGCAGGGTTTTCCAAAAGTAATAAATGCTTGGATTATTCTGTCCTACTAACATCGGACCACACCTCCTACAGTAATATCTCAGTCCCCAGGTTTCCCCTTTGCCACGGCAAAACCCTTCCCCTAGCTCGGCACTTTGCATGTTGCGCTCTTACATAATGCCGCGCAGTCTCTCCTTCCTTCCTTTCTCTTTCCTGCAAAACCAGTAACTAGCAGAGAAGTGATGAGCAGGCACCCTCCGCGGCTGACTGACCCCTGGCAGCACGGGGAAGCAGACAGTGTCTTTACTCCACCCAGGCCGAGAAGCTGCGGTCCCCAGATGCGTTACGCTCTTTGCACCCTGTGACCTACCACTTGCCTCTTTAGTCCCTGGGATGACCAAGTAGGCTGTCTCTCTAGTTCCCGTGGACTAAAATCCGTGGAGAACATAACACTGCCCTTACTACATCCCTGACCGTCCCCTGTGGGGAACGCTGAGGAGAGAATGTAAAAATTCAGCGTGCACAGGATTGCTTCCTGTGTATGGTCTCGCAGCTGTCAGCTACAGGAAGTTCCTGGGCCAAAACTAGTATCACTGGATAGGCCTTTTCTACGCATATTTATCGCTCATAAAACGTGGTAACCGCTTTTATTGCAGTATCCAAGTGACTTCAGCCTGAACTTGGCCCAATTCAGGATCAACTGAGCTGTCTCCCATCTTTATGTTTGTATTGATGCAGAATGCATCAAAAGTATTTATGATGCAAATAAAAACTAATACGTACTTTTAAATTATTGCACTTTTAAATTAATTACACATATTCGAATGTATGTGTGCATCTGTATTTATGTATGTTCTAGGTCCATTCTTTTGATGGCACAAAGGAAGAAGCAGCAGCTATATTAGATTTGGATCTTTATATTGGAATAAATGGCTGGTAAGTTCTTTGCAGGAAATAAAACTATTTTAAAAATGTCAGCTGTAGTGAACTCATTGCTTTCTTTTAAACAATGAGGTCACGTTTTCTAAGCTCAATAGACTTAATCATCTGACAGATTTAGAATTGCACTCATTAGTCTATTAGGCATAAAAAGGTCTTGACTCACAGCTCAGTGAGTTAATCTGGTCCTAGATCCACTCCACTACCCTCAGGTCAATCCTTGTTTGTAAATAAAGAAGGTGGTTGAACGTGGAAGCAGCCCTTCTGACAAGTGTTTAAAAAATAGCGCAATTTTAAGCTGCCATGTCAGATCCAGGCTGCGGATGTAACCTGAGCAGCCTTACCTAGGGGTTACGCAGTCTGAATTCTCAGCAGTCACCTGGCCAGCAGCCAGCCAGCACCGCTTTCTGAGCTGCATGGGTTGTCGAGGCCAGGCGAGCGTGGGCAGCGCAGGCAGGGGTTCTGCGCGCTTACTGGGGGGAGATGGCTTCACCGAGTAACCCTCCAAATTTGCCGTTTTTTGTGAAGTTTGAATTTACAGGCAGCACTTTTAAAAACGAAGCAAATTTTATTCGCTAACAGTTATTTAGGAAGCTGCCTTTGCTGCAAAATGTTTCAACAGGCAAAGTAAGTACATTTATACACTCCTTATTTTCTCTAACCAAACTCTGTTTTTTTCTAGCTCATTGAAAACAGAAGCCAACTTGGAAACACTGAAATCAATTCCTAGTGAGCGACTGATGATAGAGACTGGTAGGATTTTACATCTTGGTCAGTTTGTGACTTAAATGCTATGAGGCAATGAGATATGCTTGTATAGCAATGATAAGGCAGAACCAAGACCTAAGGAGCTGGGAGTAGAAAAGACTGGCTGTTTCTCCAGAGACCCCAGAAATGCTCCCTTTCAGCCTTCTGCTGGAAGGAGTAAGCTGCCATGTCAGTTCCTGATGTTGCAGGGGAAGATGAAAAGGACAAACTGTGACAGGCCCAGATGTTTAAATATACCTAGGTACCAGAATCCTGCTTCAACAGCTTTTAAAATCCAGCTTGCTGGAGATGCCCCAAACACAGGGCAATGGCTATGATCGTGCCACTGGTAACAGTAACGGCATTTGGAAACAACAGCTCCTTCAATGGAATAAGGTGGAAGAACGCTTGAATTCCCATCCTGGCCTTGTGAGCAGTGATTTTAATTGACTGATTAGGGATGCTGTTTTTTTTTTTTAACATTCATTTCAGTTATCAATAACTGACAGTTATAAAGACAGTATTTATTTTAATTTCTGAATCTGAGAAAGGAAAACCACAAACTGCATAAATCCTTAAATTTATTTGCACGTGAAGCATACGGGAAGTTTCTGTGGAATACATGCAGTGTATCTAGCTATCATGTTGGAGGAAGCAAGTGTTATGTACTATTATTGCTGATTTTTTAAAGTGTAAAATCTTGATGGTAACAGTTATAAAAATCCAAAGATAGTGAACATGTTAAATTGCCCAAATATTTTAAATTCCATTTTGAATTGGAAGTCGCTGCTAGAAAGAGATTGCAAGAACTTTTGTCTGTGGAAGTAGATGATTAAACTATCTCATGCTATTCTCAAACAATTGCTTACCCTCTTAATTATTTTTTTTTTCCGCAAATTAAACTAGATGCACCTTGGTGTGGAGTGAAAAATACTCACGCTGGATCAAAATACATTAAAACTACATTTCCTACAAAAAAGAAGTGGGAAATAGGGCACTGCTTGAAGGACAGAAATGAACCCTGCCATATAATGTAAGTGTACTACTGTAGTTTTATTTTAAATCTTTCAAATCTCATAGGAAAAGTCAGTTCACTGGAAATGTAGCATATAGAAATGAATTGTAAATTTATTGAAACTTGTGCAAGGTATTGCTTTATAGGCTGTGGAAAAAATTAAAAAGCCTTAATTTTCCCATCTCAGCAATGCTGGATGTAAAAAGCTCCCTGAAAGTGAAACCAGTACCGTTTTTATCTTGACACGATGAAGAAGGGGTTAAACGCTGTAAAGTAACCTGACTTGAGTAAATTTCAGTCGATTGTTGTTGCAGTTACTGCTGAA